AAACCTAACCGTGGGTCTATTTTCACCTATCATCTCCTTGAGTGTGGCCAGGACCTGTGACCTACTTCCAGTAATTGAATATGGTAAAAGTTGTGAGATGTCACTCACCTGATTATGTTATACTTTGTCATAAAAGCCCACTGGGGTAACAGACTGTTCTGGCAGACTTACAGGCATAAGTGGCCATGTTAGAGAATCTCTTGTGTCAGGGAAGTATAGGCAGCCTCTGGGGTGTCAGGGTAACCTCTAACCAATAAGTCAGCAAAAAGTCAAGGTTCTCATTCCCACAACTGCAGAGAAATGAATTCTGCCAATAACTTGAAGGAGGTGGAGTTCCCCAGTCAAGCCTCCAGCTGAAAATGCAGCCCTTGATTACAGTCTTGTGAAACTGAGCAGAGGACACAGTTAACTGTGTCTGGACTCCTGACTCAGAAGCTATGAGATAATAAACGTGTGTTGCTTTAAGCCCCTGTTTGTGGCAATTTTTAAATTCAGCAATAGGAACTTTTGCAATGTTTTACTCTTTTTCTGACTCTTTTATCGTTTTTAGTAGCATTTTGGGAAGTATCTGAGGTGAACGTGTGTGTAATCAGTGGATTAGACAAACGTGGCTTATGACATGTGATCAAACACCCTTTATTTTTTTTTGTCTCTCATTATCCTTATAAAATTTATTCAAGAGTAAAAGCTTTTCTTTCCCACCAGATATGTTCCAGAAATTACTCCAACATGCTCCAATAATAGCAGCTTTGTGGTCACTTTGGATAGTTCACACACTCTCAGTTTGGTTATTAAGATGCTCAGTCTCATGTAATAATAATAACTACAAATAATTTGGCTTAAATTTCTATTCTCCCCCAACTCCCTCTCCAACTGAGTCCTACTCTAGGTTGGCTCTTTGCACCGGCACATCTTTGCTGATGGACAGTTTTGCTTAACTTTTCTTCCTCTCCTTCTACCCGCCCCACCTTGGGCAATGAGGTTTCTGACCTCCTTTCCCTCAAGTCCAGGAAGAAAGATTTGTATTACAAGATGGGGTTGCCTTCATATGGTGCCAGGTCTCTGAATGTAAGGGAGGGAGTGTTCGGGAACTCTTCGGAAATTTCGTATCCCTGACCTCTCTCACGTGCAATTCCTTTAGCTCATACAAATTCATCTATATTCCAGGTGCTCATCCCCTAATCTGGCTTCACCTCCAACTTCTTTCTGCTCGATCTCCACCACTTTGGGTGGCCCCCTCACACAGCACCCAAGACAACCCCGTATTGTCTCTCTCTTGCTTGCTTGTCTCACCATTCTCCGTAAGAAACACACACACATGCTTCACTCTGACAAACTGTAGGCATGTAGGCTGGTCTCAACACAGAGTCCATTCAGGGCCCCAGACCAGGGCTGTGGCCACAGTTCCAAGCAAGAATAAGAACCTCGTCTTCCCCCACCCAATAGTCAGCCATAGAAGGCTAAGAAATCCTTCATTAAGTTTGAAGTCAGGGGACAAGTATCTCTTCTTCTCTCACCTCTTGGGGTAGATGAGGAGGTTCATGAAGCAGCTTTCTCCAAGGAAATTCTCATAAAATTCTCATCTGTATATCTCTGGGGAGTATGGAACATCTACTGGTCTCTGATCATTTCTTTTGAACATCTCACTTTGGTATCTCATGTGTACTCCATCTTGGTGCCACATGGAGCCTTACATCTTCATTTGCTGTATGCATGCCTATTCAATCCACCACCATTAACTGGAAGGTCCCCTTGCTCTCTTTATTTGTATATTATGAAGCCTATTCATGTCAGAAGGCTAACAGATACTCTTAAGACTTTGTAACTCTCGGGGCGCCTGGGGGCCTCAGTTAGTTAAGCATCTGAGTTCAGCTCAGGTCATGATCTTGTGGTTTGTGAGTTCATGCCCTGCATCGGGCTCTGTGCTGGCAGCTCGGAGTTTGGAGCCTGCTTTAGATTCTGTGTCTCCCTCTCTCTCTGCCCTTCCCCACTCACACTCTGTCTCTCTCTCTCAAAAATAAATAGACATTTAAAAAATTAAATACAAAAATAATTTTAAAAAGACTCTGTAAATCTCAAAATAGCCCATTCAGAAATCTGTTCTGTGTCCTACTTGAACATGCCTAATGAATGTTCATTGTGTCCATGGGGCTGAATTCAGATGCACTGCCCTAAGTGGGACCTATTGCAGTAGAGAGCCTGGTCTAAGAACCAAATGGTTGGCACAAATTCACATGCTCTATTGCCTTCTTCCATCAATGACTCCAATGGGCATAATAAAAATGCATCCACATCTCCTCCCTTGTCAGTAGAAAGGTGGAAGAATGTGGGGCAGCGACTGTCCTACCTGGAGTTTGATCTTTACAGGCTCACTCTTCACTAAGTGCTGGCACTCACATCTGACCTCTCTAGCTTGCCAGACAGAACTGTTGACAGTGGGTATATCCAGGCAATATGAGGTGGAGACTGGGAGGAAGCTACCCCAACCCACTCTGATGCCATGAGCAACGGGAGCCTTAGAGACCTCTAGGATCAAACTCTTGGCATGAGCACTGACACGTCCATGAGAGGTAGGGCGTGGCGGCGAGGCTTCACCAAAGAGATTCTGTAAGCAGCAACTGTGGATGAGTGAGAGGCAGAACAAGAAAGGGAGGCCAAGGCGGGTGGACCTAATTAGGGTTACCACAAGTGACTATGCAGATTATGGCCTAAACCACTTTAGTTGGCACCATTAATATCACAGGTGTGAGAATGGCACCCTCTTGAGTACACGGCCTGTAAAGCCATATGTGGTGACCCTGGAAAACTATGGTCATTGCACCTGAGATTGTCCTTCATCATTCCCTTGGGGACTTCAAAAAATAACTGAGAGGATATGTTGAAAGACCCTAAGTTCAATTAAACAGACAGATAAGAACCCTAGCTGCTTGTTAGGAATTGAACTGCGTGTCTGCAAAATTCATATTTTGAAGCTCTAACCTCCAATATGACTGTATGTGGAGACGAGGCCATTAAGGAGGTGATTAAGGTTCACTGAGGTGATCAGAGTGGGATCCCCATCTGATAGGATGGGCGCTCTTAAAGAAGAAGAGACACCAGAGACCTCTATTAGCATGCAATGAGAAGAGACCATGCGGGGACATAGCAAGAAGGTGGCTGTCTATGAGACGGGAAGAGTGGTCTCATCAGAAAATAACCCCAAAGACAGCTTGATCTTGGAAGTCCTAGCTTCCGGAACTGTGAAAAACATGAATTTCTGTTGTTTAAACTACCCAGTTTGTGATATGTTGTTATAGCAGTCTGAGTTAATATACTACTATAGACAGCCATTAAAAGTGGACATGACTTCATCTTGTAATCATGGTCTGCTGAGATTCGGGGCATGAGGACTACATGTAAAATAGGGACTAGATGATGCTTGAGATCCCTCACAGACCAGAGAGTGTAAGATTCTAATTACAATTAAATAAGCAGTGCCCTTGCCTTCTAGTCTGACTTATAAAACCCACTTCCTGTTAAAATTAACATCCACGACTATTATATGCATAACGGCTATTCATCATCCGTGTTGCCCTGCTCACATTATTTCCCCTTTGTGCCTTCGTTTCTGCTGCTGTAAACCAGGGACAGTAAGGTTCCCCACTCCCAAGCTTCTTGTGAAGATTAAGAGTTAACATATGCAAGGCACTTAGTGCCTGGCAGGGAGTGAGCAGTCTATGAATGTTGCTTCTTCTTCCTTGACCTCTTACCATTATCGTCGCCATCACCATCGTCATCACAATTATTGTTGAAAGAAATCTGCCCTTGCAGATTTTTAGGATGTCTAAGATTTCTAGAAGCAGGGACGAGTCAGATAAGGCTCAGTCTTTCTGGGCCCAGTGGCCAGGGTTGAAACACTGGCGAGCCCAGGGGGTGAAAGTATGGAAAGGAAATGTCACTTCGTGTGGTGCCTGTCCACCTGCTGCTCTCTGTCTCATCTGAAAGTGGCATTGGCTGTACATGTAAACAACCCCAAAAGTACTCACAGTGGTTATGAAAGAAAACCAGGAAAAAAAAAAAAGAAAACCAGGATGTGTTAGGGTATCTCCCCGGAAGGTGACAACCAAACTCTCCCTCAATTTGCCTCTTACATCGAAAGAATTCTGGGAGTAATGAAACTCATATCTGACCTTATAAGTATTGTTAAGGTTGAAGGTCATTTCTAAGGCTGTTATGGGCCATAGAACTGGACTAGGAACCAAAAGTCCTAAAAGCCCTCAGTACCCCTTTACTGGCTACACAATCTCCACCTCATTGAACATGTGTTTCCTCATCTCTGCTTTAGATCTTCCTGGACATCTCACTTCACTGGACTGGGGGCCAGATGAAATTATAAGGTGTAGACTGAAAAACACTGCCTTACGTATAAGATCATATCATTATACTTCCCAACTAATGGCTACAAAGCTGTGTGAAATAGAATTTTTTCATTTTATTTCTGAATGAGTTTCAAAGGTAAGTGACTGAACCTAAAAAGGAAAAAAAAAGGATAAAATCCAACTGGAAAATTTGGGAGGGAAATGCCTCTTCTCTAGGAAATTTGCTCCAATGACTTTTTGATAGGAAGCGAACGTGGGCCATCCATTTATCTCAGGTGATTTCGTGACGGTTTCTGACTGCAGTTCAGATGCCTGGGAATGTGACAAGAATAATGCTATTTCATGAAAAAGGAAACTGCAGTCTGTGGCAGTGAAAAGCTGGCACAACGGACGCAGCTTCTAATAAAACCTACTTTCCTACGTTTATGAAGCAATTCCTTTGAGTCAAACCACATGGAAATAAACGGTTCCGTTTAAATGAAGATAAAAAAAGCAGGGATAGAGCTGCTGAAAACTTCTCATTTTATTCCAGATGCCCACATCAGAAAATTCCATCTAATATTGTGCTAATTTTTTCACTGACATTTAGTTCTAAATGTCAAGTTGCACCAAAAATTTCCCTTGATTTTATGGTTTGCAGCCTTACTCAGTTGATAAAAACTGGGTTAGCATGATGTCATTTGACGATTCTCCCGTATGGGAAAAAGCATAAATGCCTAGGAGAGGAAAGAGACAATAAGAGTTACTGCTTCTATGTCGGAATCAAGCATGAGACCAAAATGAAAATATGCCTAGCCAGGTCCTTACAACTCTGGACAGCTCCGGAAAGATGATAGGGAAAGCTACAGAATGTAGTTGGCTGATAGGCAGCCACATTTTCATTAATTCCCAAGAGACTTGCGTTCATCAGACATCTCTCATTTGAGAAGAGAAGAACCACAGCTTTCAGATACGGCTCAGAGATGAGATAAAGTAGGTGTGAGATCATCAAATGTAATTGCTAGAAGGAAACTTTGTGATCTCTTAGGTTTTTCATATTACTGACGAGGGACAAACATCCAAAAAGGTTAAGAGATTTGTAAACAACACGCAGGCTGGTTGGTGACAGTGATAACAGGACCCAAGGTTTCTGGGTGGGCACACTGGACATTTGGGGAGGGAAGCCTTTTCAAGTTCAAACACCTGAACTTTATTTGGAATTCAAATAATTTTTCTTAGAAGCTAACGTGAGTGGCCCATTTCTCTGCCCTCATAAAGATATTAACTTAATTTAACATGTAGTGAGACTTGGGCATTTAAATGTGACTTCAGCTTAACTTGTAACACAATACCTCTTCCTCACCCCTCTTGATCCACTCTTCTCCTCCAGGCATATTGCAACTATTTGCAAGGCATACATATCAGTCTTCCTGTAGCTGAATATCATTGACTTTAGCAACAGCCAATAGATGAGGGTAAAGACAGTGCATGTCACAGCTGGAGGGGACAGTGCTTTCTCACCCATAGCAAGTGGTGGCTTCTCCCTTTGCAGGAACATTTTAGAGGGAGGGGATACCTAATACCTGGCCCATGCCCACTGCTCAGTTGCTGACACAAGGGGAGTGACTCTCCGGTAAGGACAAAAATTGGTGTTCATCTAACCACACTCCTGCACCCCATGACCCCAGTGATCAATGTCATCAATTTACATAATGTCTAAGTGAGGAAATGGTGGTAATTTGTGATGAAATTAAAAGGGACACCATGGGTCTCCATGACCCTCAAATCCCTAACAATGTTCGGTCAGCCCTGAGCACCATCCAGATGAACTTCAGACATATGACCAGCTCATATTCCTACACATCCCACCTGAGGTTTTTAAAAGTACCCTTCAATTTTCCTCATGTGATATATTCATATTCTTTCTTCTATTTTTTTATTAACCTTTGGCTTATTGTTAACTCACCTTTGTGTTGCAGTGGGTTGAAAGGCTTTGGGAATTTGGGTTTGGCAGATACATCTTTTGAGTTCTGCTGCATAAAAGAAAAACAAATCATTCGGAAATTAATTCTATTCGTTTAGTGATGCTCTGCATTTCCGACATCTTAATGTCATTAGTGAACCTTTACTCCATTTACATGGTGCACTATTCTGTTTTATTAGAGTACTCCTTTCTTACGCTTTCTCCTGCTTTAATCTTTTTAAAACGCCTAAGGACTTATTTCTAAGTGAATCTTGTGTTCCTGTATATTCTCACAACTTCTAACAACAAACCAGAAAGAAGGTTTTTTTTTTTGTTTAATTTTTTTTAATGTTTGTTTTTGAAAGAGACAGAATGCGAGTGGGTCAGGGGCAGAGAGAGAGGGAGACACAGAATCCGAAGCAGGCTCCAGGCTCCGAGCTGTCAGCACAGAGCCCGACGCGGGGCTTGAACTCACGAGCTGTGAGATCATGACCTGAGCCGAAGTTGGTCGCTCAACTGACTGAGCCACCCAGGCGCCCCAAACCAGAAAGAAGTTTTAAAGAGGGCATTATTGGGGTGCCTGGGTGGCTCAGTCGGTTAAGTGCCCAACTTCAGCTCGGGTCATGATCTCACAGCTCGTGGGTCCCCATGTTGGGCTCTGTGCTGACAGCTCAGGGCCTGGAACCTGCTTCAGATTCTGTGTCTCCCTCTCTCTCGGCACCTCTCCTGCTCATACTCTATCTCTCTCTCTCAAAAATAAACATTAAAATAAATAAATAAAATAAAGAAGGCATTATCTTTTTTCATGTCTATGTTTACGTTTCTTTGGTTCACACATGTATCACTAGGAAAGAAACCCCAGGGGGGAAAAGCAATAGTTCTATAAAAATGGTCTCAAATAAAACTTTGCCTTATTCTCACTCATCTTAGCATTCAAATCCCTTTGTGAATAATCCTTTAGCAACTGCTGCAGAGGCTAAATAGAGTTCAAAAGTTTGAAAACTGAATTATCTCACTGAAATCAAATTTTTAAAATGAAGAATATGTTCTTATGGGGAAAGGTAAATGTGTTAAGATACACTGTATTCTTTTCCACTCACCAGTTGATTTATTCATCAGTTTAACATCTCCTATTGAGTACCACTGTATGCTAGACACTATGTTAGGCACCAGGAATATTAGAAAGAATAAGATCCATTTTCTATCACTGTCCATACCATGAGGAAGCTAAATCAAGATGGAAGAAAAAAGGTTCTTGTTATATGCAGTGGGCAACCCAGTGATAGCTCCTGATTTTCATGGAAATATAGAAGCTGCTACCCCACATTGAGCTCTGGAAAAAAAAAATTATCATAGAGAGAGGAATGAGAAATGTCTGAAAGTTCCAAAGCAAAATAATTGATTTTCTAGATTCAGGACTTAGTAAACATATACTAAAGAAAAATTCTACGGTCATTATCATTGCTTTTAAAACTGCATCCTGCCCCATAGAGAGAGAAGAAGCTTAGATTGCTTAGATTTCAACACACTCAGGGATTCTACACGGTCTGAGGTAAAGCAGCCTCTTCAGACATGTGAATATATGGGGCTAAGCTCTTGGTCAAATAAAAGGACCTGAATCATTGGAACCATAAATAATTAAATATCTTCTTTCTGGAGGGAAATTCTGTAGAGGCCACCAGTGTCTGCCTCTTGGTGAAGAGCTGCAGAGAACATGGCTAGAGACGATGGAAGGGCCAAGAAGGGTCCCTGAGCCCTCAGCAAGGATTTGAGAGAAACTGCACCACGGGTCCACAAGGTGTCATGGCGGCTTGAGGGATGGTCCTTGTGGAGAACACTGTGGGCTACTTTCATTCCTTTCAGCCAACAACCCAAATTTCACTGCCCTTTTAAGACTCCTATTTTGCCATCCATTTTCCCATCTCTTATTGGATAGCCTTTTCTCCTACTGTAAAAACAAAACAAAACAAAAAAGTATCCAGGTCTGAATTCTCTCACCCCCTGACCCAATCTACACACGTTGCTCTATCTGCATCAAACTGATGCTTCCTGTGTCCAGGGAAGAGTCTGACCCCTCTGTCTTAAGTCGAGCTATTCCATGTGCCTTCCCAAGAATCTTCTTCCTTCAGTCATCCTTCCCAACCCCCATTTGTCTTCAGACTATCTTTGCTGGCTCATCCCTCCCAGCATATGGACTTGCTCACATCCTCGTGACTCAGCTCTACCATCACTGCTGTCCTGAGTCTGCGTCTGCTTTCCACCCTCACTCTCTTTTCTCTCACAACGAGTTTCTTGCGGGAACATTCCCACAGAGGTATCTTTCCCTCCCCTTCTCATTCCTCAACCGGGGTAATCTGGGTTCCTGTCTTACATTCAAACTTCCTCAGCATTTAAATGTGACTTCAGCTTAACTTGTAACACAATACCTCTTCCTCATCCCTCTTGATCCACTCTTCTCCTCCAGGCATATTGCAACTATTTGCAAGGCATACATATCAGTCTTCCTGTAGCTGAATATCATTGACTTTAGCAACAGCCAATAGATGAGGGTAAAGACAATGCATGTCACAGGTGGAGGGGGCAATGCTTTCTCACCCACAGCAAGTGGTGGCTTCTCCCTTTGCAAGAACATTTTAGAGGGAGGGGATACCTAATACCTGGCCCATGCCCACTGCTCAGTTGCTGACACAAGGGGAGTGACTCTCCGGTAAGGACAAAATTGATATTCATCTAGCCACACTCCTGCACCCCATGATCCCAGTGATCAATGTCATCAATTTACATAATGTCTAAGTGAGGAAATGGTGGTAATTTGTGATGAAATTAAAAGGGACACCATGGGTCTCCATGAGCCTTGGGAAATTATGAACACCCATCTTCTATTCTGTCAAATATACATTTATTTTAAAGCAAGTGAGCCACCTAACCCGAAAACAAAGTTCCACTTTTGTCATCTGATTTAAAAATGACATTGGAGGGGCACCTGGGTGGCTCAGTCGGTTAAGCGGCCGACTTCGGCTCAGGTCATGATCTCGCGGTCTGTGAGTTCGAGCCCCGCGTCAGGCTCTGGGCTGACAGCTCAGAGCCTGGAGCCTGTTTCAGATTCTGTGTCTCCCTCTCTCTGACCTTCCCCTGTTCATGCTCTGTCTCTCCCTCTCTCAAAAATAAATAAAACATAAAAAAAAAAATTTAAAAAAAATGACATTGGAAAAGGAGTACAAATCCACAAGATGCCTCAGTGACCACAGCTGCCTGCTGACCAGTGTCAACACTTTACATTAGAAACAGGGAGAAAAAACACTGTCAGGCATCCTTACTTTTGTTTTTGTTTTAATTTATGTTGGGGTGTTTTTCTCTCTTTGGTTTTCAAATGAGAAAAATTCTGACTTCCTGCTTGGTGGGGTGGGGGGTGTCCTGTGTTACCTTGTTAACTTCAGGTCTTTCTATAATGCAGTCACATATGCTGTAGCTCCCTCCTTTTCTGAAGAATAGTGAGTGATTTATTAGTTTCACATTTTCTGGTTGAAGAGTTTGGTTCTTCAAGACATAAACTCAAAATCACAGAAAGTCAGAACTTCTGCTTTGAGTGACCAGCCCAACAGTTAATATTAACAGTTGAAACAAAAATTAAAACCAAAAGGTACCATGTGACTTTCCTAAAATCATTCAGCCAATTGGTTACTGAGTCAGAAATACAGGGCAGGTATGCTCTCACGGGCCACCGATCCCTAACTCACAACAATTTCCGGTACTAGGAAATGCAGAGCCAGGGAAAAATTTTAAGGTCAAAGGTTAATTTCCTCACAGTTGGGCTTTTTTTTTTTTTTTTTTTACTATTATTATTTCAAAAGATTATCTTGTCCCTTATAAAAATCTCTAAACACCATGTAGGTTTACATCGACTTAAGTCAGTTGACTTCTATCAAACACAAAAATCTCTGCTTTAGAGCTCGTTCTGAAAGGCCTTCAGTGTTTTGCTGAAAAGCAAAAGACTAAATTGACTTCAAAAATACAAAATATGAACACAAAGGCGTTGGTTTCTACTATATTCTCCTTAAATGGATTGCACTATCATGGCAAAGAATGAAACAGGAATCCTCTGTTGCCATACAAATGTCTCCGTTTGTAGATTTAAGAGCTACAGTTGCAAGGGACAGTTATACCCACTTAAGAGGGAAAACTCAGAGAGGACATTTCACATATTAGAAGTTAATCAAGGACTTCACCGTTTACTTTTATGAAAGCAAAATGGTCTGCAGGAGGTCCAGAAAGTCATTCAGAGAAAAGGGTCTCACTGACTCTAGATATTGGCAGACAAGTCAGACTAAAGCAAATGATTGCTCAAAGGTAGTTGCCCACAAGAACACCCACAGCCCTCAGTGCTTGAACATCTTTGTAACTTTCCCTGCCTTCTCATTCACTCATTTATACACTCATTCATTCATTCACTCATTCATTGTCTCACTCACTCAACTTTATGAGTATTGACGCTGTGCTAGGAACCATGCCAGATAACAGAAATATAATGGTGCCACAAACTCAAGGGGTTAAGCAAAAGTGGGCTTGCTGTAAAACGGCACACAGAGAAAAGTATGAAACCGGAACTTCAGGCATTGGACTCATGGCAGCAGATGATTACCTTTGATGCTTGCTTCTGAGAGCTTAAAGGGGACAATTTGTTGAACAGCAATTGTCGTAGCTATAAGGCAACAAAGAAATATTGAAGACAGGCACATATTCAATCATAAAAGACAAATCCAGAACAAAACTACAGATTGGAATTGTTGTTTACTAGAGGTATTTCCCGGAAGCGCTTAATAGACCTTAACCATGGCTATCTGATGAAAGGATTTGTTATATTTGTTTGCTTTACCTATAAACAAATCTAAGATTCAACAAAGAACAACAGTACCAAAAGCTGTCATAATTCAGATCCTAGGCAATAGTAATTTATAATAATTGCTAAGTTGAAATTTATCTTTGAAGTAAAGACTTTTCCTGACCATGTGAATGATGCCATTAAGAGAATTATTTAGTCTCCTCAAGAACAGCAAGTTGCTTCTCTGTAAACAGGGATTTTGTGTATGTGCTAAAATTGTGCTAATTATAAAATATTCTTATCTTCTTATTAAAACAAAGTCCGTATCGCTTAGCTTACTGTCTTTACGTCTCTCAACAGACATGCTCAAAGCTTGGGCAAAATAATGAAACAAGTTGATATAAAATTTTTTCCATAATCTTTTGCTCACATTGGTTGTCCTTCATTAGAGATTTTATTTAATGTTAAAGGCTATTTAATATTTACCATATAAAACTCTAGAAATATGGGAGGAGATACTTCTTTCAGCATGTTCTAAGTAAATGCATACATTTAATCGAGGAGAAACAGAAAATTCAACCTTCCTGAAAGTACTTTCGCTCTTCAATGACTGCCAAACGGTGGATAAAAGCAGCAAAATGAAAAGTAAAAACAATTTCCCTTTTTTGTCTACAATGTTCACATTGTATGTTATGATTAGTTCTATATAGTTTTATTATCAGAGGTGAGTATTTCCACTGAGTCTTCCTGAGTCTACCTTTTATAAAATTATAGAATTTGATTACAAAACTACCCAGGGTCTCACCTCTATTGTGAATAAGAGCCCAGAAATCTTATTGGGTTGGATGCCTGGATTAGAAGAAGAAAGAGATAAAGAGAGAAATGAACACACATACCTTACTATCCCAGAGCATTCCAAAACATAAGATGAAAAAACCCTAAAAAAAAAAAAAAAAAGAATAGATCACGTGCATGGTCTTATCTTTTCCAGAAAAATGAAGCACTGATATGTAATACTATTCTATCACCCAACATGGAAGTTGTTTTCTTGTCTGTCTTCCTACTAGACAGTGGGCTCCTTGAAGGCAAGGACCCTGGGTCACTCCCCAATGCCTGGCATAACACAAGCCCTCAAAAATATTTTGTCGAATGTATAAAGAAGTGAGTGAATAAAGTTTTAAATGCGTGCCGAGATTTCTTTTCCCCCTTGTGTCATCCTAAACCCAATACAAATCACTTCCATTTGCCTCTATATCTTAGTCTTTCTTTAGAATAGGCATTAAATAAACATTGACTAAACATTTATGACGGCAGTGGGCATTGAGGTCCAACCCTAAGATCAAACGGAGGACCTTTATCTGCACCCTTTCCATCAAGTCCACCCTTGGGGAACCCCTGGAAGAGGCTTTCTTGTACCTTGGAATCCTCTTCCCTGTCAGAGCACCTTCAACTGGTGCCTGTTCACACAGCATATCACCATGGGTCTGCCCTCAACAGAAGCTCCCTAAGCCCGTCACCATTAGGTCCGTGCTTTCGAGGTTTGCCATCTGTCCCACCACTGAAAACATTCACCAGTATGCTAACATAGGTGGAAAACCACTCGCTTTTAGAAGATGTATTAGCATCTGCTATGTGCCAGGCACTGTGCTAAGAGCTAACTTATGCCATTTAATCTTCACATCTACTTTATGATACAGGTAATGATATTATCCATTTAACAGATGAAAGAATTGAAAGAGAGATTAAATAATTTTTTATTGGTCACAGTTGATAACGTGACATATTTGAGCTGAGACCTATTTAAGTACAAAGCTCAAATGTTTAACCACCACCTTCCCGAATCATTGTCCAGAGGGGACCAGCAAATTTTCGTCAAACCAGGATTAAAGGCTCTCTTCCAGACTCATCAAATCCTAAAGATTACTTTGTCTACCTACTCTCTGACCACTCTCTGGTTGTGGAATGTAAAACCCATGCTTTGCAGCAGGGGTAGGCCAACTTTTCCTAGAAAAAGCCAGAGAGGACATGTTTTAGGCTTTGCAGGTCATACTATCGCAACTGCTCAGCTTTGCCAGTGTAAAGAAAGCAGCCGCAGACCGTATCTAAACAAACTGGTGTGGCTGTCTTCCAATAAAACTTTATTTACAAAAACAGAGCTGGCTACAGTTTGCCAGGTCCTGCTCTGTCATGCTCTAGAGACTTCCTTTGCACCATGCAGAGTCAACAAACACTCTTGATTTCTTTCCCTTTCCCTGTGTGCTTTTGCAGAGAGGTCTGCCCAAGAGAAAGGGGACTGACTCAGCAGCAAGAGGGATTAACGTTAGCTATATGAACTCAAACAGATTTAAAATCCTGGGATGGAGGGGTGCCTGGGTGACTTCAGTCGGTTGCGTCCAACTTTGGCTCGGGGTGTGATCTCATGGTTCATGAGTTCAAGCCCCTCATCGGGCTCTGTGCTGATGGCTCAGAGCCTGGAAGCTGCTTCAGATTCTGTGTCTCCCTCTCTCTCTGCTCCTCTGCCACTCACGCCTGTCTCTCTCTCAAAAATTAAAATCCTGGGATGGATTACTGAAGAAGTCTAATAGTCTACTTCAGTATAAGAATAACTCTTGGAAAATATGGATCCTTTTGTTTGTTTGTTTTCTATTCAGTGTTGCCAGGCATTGTTGGTTTACAGACCTGGTGGGGCCAGGAGAGGAGATAGCCTCCAGAGTGGTATCACCAACCTCAGTTCTCTATAATTATTCCCATCACCTGATGATATAAGAAGTTATTCTTATTGTTCTTACCTGGAATGCATTGAGTAATGCAAAAATAACATGCCAAGCCAGATTCTGGTTGTCCACTATTGTTCCTATGCCAAAGCCCCAGGTGAGCCCCAGCAGAGGGGTCAGGATGAGGAGGCTCTTCCCCATGCGGACAATAGTGGCCTTGTTGTCCTGACTCGGCCTTTCTCCAACAGTGGGCCTCCAGAGCTTTGTGAGAACTAATAGCACCACAACCAAATTCACAGCCACAATAGTCAGTGCAGGAACAGCAAAGGCCAAGAGGGGTTTGCTCTTATCAGACCAATTAAGCCAACACACGTCTTTCCTTTCGTAGCCATTGCCAGGTTGCGTGACGGCAATGGTGATGACAGATATGATGAGAGGGCACCCATAGCCCAGGCAGAACCCGAAAGCCATCATCAAATGCAGGCCCATGTGATGGAACACAAAGAGGATCCGATAAGCTAGCAGGATGCCAAGCATGAGCATCCAAAAGAACAAGGAGAGGTAGAAAAAGTGCATAAAAAACACTGCAGCTATGCAGACTCCAGAAAAGCTTACTGTGGAGTCTGCAGTGGCAGCAACGATAAACCAAACATCAGCAATCAGGAGGCACAAGGCTATGTTCACCATGCAAATATGGCGCGTGTAGGAAGTTTGGTTTTTCTTGACCTGCTTCCAAAACAGAGCTTCAATGATTAGGCATAAGGTGAGACTTCCGATGGAGATGCCCAGTCCCACAAAAGTGATCCATTTCACAAAGGGGATGATGGCAGGGGGGACAAAGGGTGACATCAGTATGGAGAAGGAGGTCAGGTGAGTACATTGGCACGTCACCGTGTCTGGAGTTTCATTCACTAGGTGGCAGCCCGCATTGTTCCATTGCAAATGCCTGAAATCCCAAAACACACAGTGAGGCTGGCTCAGATTTGACTCTGTCTTGGGAAAAACCAGGAAAATTTCATTTATGGAATAGTTTTGGATAACCGTGGATATCACTGGCCCATTGACCTGAGCATTTCCATTTTTGGCAATGGATAGAATATTCCCCAGGGTCAACGAGGCCATGCTGATAATAGTTTCTGGAAAGGACCCCTGGAATTGGTCTGACCCAATTAACACATGGCCTCTGATGGGAATGGAAGTATTTGGGGGCGATATTTTAGCCTCATAGCTGTAACCCATCTCAAGTTGGCTTTGGGACCCTGGAATCCCTCTCCAGTGAATGAATTCCCGAGAGACACTCAGGGGCAGAGCTGTCGAAGGTACGAGGCTGCTGATGTTTTCCAGTGTCTCCAGTAATCGTGAGCTGGCATGCTGTTCTTCCTGCAGTAACACCGTCCAGTTGGTTACTGATGCTGAATTAAGGATGTGGTCAGCAATACTGATGACATCCTGAAATACAAGGATGAAAGTCGGTTTGCATTTTGAATAAGCAGTTCAGAGGACTAAGAGCAGAGAGTCATTAGAATATTAGGTATACTACAATTGTGGGGGCGCCTGGGTGGCTCAGTCGGTTGAGCATCCAACTTCGGCTCAGGTCATGATCTCATGGTTTGTGAGTTCGAGCCCTGCCTCGGGCTCTGTGCTGTCAGCTCAGAGCCCGGAGCCTGCTTCGGATTCTGTGTCACCTTCTCTCTCTGCCCCTCCCCCACTCATGCTCTGCCTCTTTCTGTCTCTCAAAAATAAATAATGCAAAAAAAAAAAAAAAATTTTTTTTTTTCAAAAAGTATAGTACAAATGCCCAGAGAGTTGACTTGGTTGAGGACCACATTCAAATTCATCAGCAATAATCAGCTTAGTTGCTCTGCACGGTGGAAGCTTTGGGTTAAGAAACTTGGGTCAGCAGAATCATATAAGTCTCAGAGTGATCTCCCCAGGGCATTCATATGCACACTGGGGATCCAGCACGGCTGACAAAGAATCCTGTGATGTGGGTTGCAGCAGGGCCCATTTCTGTCCTCAGAGATGACCAACATGGCTGCCTTCTTAATAGTTCAGCTGAGGCTCAAGGAGTAAGATGTTATTTTGAACTGCTCTCCAACATTATGTTTCTTTTGCTAACATCAGAAGTTCTAAATTCATGTCATGGACATTCAAGTTTTAATCCATGTGTGTTTATGACCATTTAATAGAAGAGAATATAAAGTAAAAATCCTTAAAAACTGGACAAGCAACCAGGAAGCATGGAATTATTGTGGGTTTTAAGTGTCAGTCTTAGTTTAAGAGATTCCTTTTCCTAACAAGCCCTTGAAAGGTGGACCGTGTCTCTGGCTTATGGCTCAGGTTCCCAGGCATTGTCAACGCCCCAGGTGTTGTCACTCTGACTGAGTCTCACCCTAAATGGGCCCTCTGTGGCTTCTGGCCCTGAGTCCCATAGCATGCTTCTTGTACTGTCCCTTGGAACCTCTGCCTTCTTTTGGTTTCTGTTTGCCTGCTCTGTGCTCTTCAGTTTATTTTTAAATTTTTTATGTCATGTTGTTTTAGCTGGCTTCTAGTAAACAGCACAAAGCCAGGCTTTAAAAAAATTTTTTTTGAGCATCTTTCCTTTGATTCAGGGAGTTTAACCTATTTATATTTAATGTCATCTCTGACATATCCATTCTATAATCCAGTTGTGTAAAATATTATGTACTTTAACATACACAATGCATGTACCAAAATGGTTGGAAGGACATTTAGTTAAGAAATATTTATTGAGTACCTTCTATGTGCTACTTGTCATTTTGTCATTTTCTAGGCACTGAGGTGATACCTAAAATATAAGCAATGGCTATTCTAGGGTGACCAGGTTACATATCTTTATTATTATTTTTTGTCCATTTGCATTTCTTAGTAAGCAAGTTTTACTTGCATAAATTTTAAGCTAATTTTTATTTGTTTGTTTGTTTGTTTTTGAGAGAGAGAGAGAGCATGTACACGCTCGAAGGGGAGGCGCAGAAGGAGAGGAAGAGAGAGAGAACCTAGGCAGGTTCCATGCCCAGCCTAGTGCTTGATATGGGGCTCGATCTCACAACCATGAGATCATGACCTGAGCCAAATCAAGGGTCAGACACTTAACCAACTGAGCCTCCCAGGTGCCCTTAAACTAATTTTTAAATATCCAAACCAGGGGCGCCTGGGTGGCTCAGTCGGTTAAGCGTCCGACTTCAGCTCAGGTCAGGATCTCGCGGTCCGTGAGTTCGAGCCCGCATCGGGCTCTGGGCTGATGGCTCAGAGCCTGGAGCCTGCTTCCGATTCTGTGTCTCCCTCTCTCTCTGCCCCTTCCCCGTTCATGCTCTGTCTCTCTCTGTCTCAAAAATAAATAAATGTTAAAAAAATTTAAATAAATAAATAAATAAATAAATAAATAAATGTTTAAAAAAATTAAATATCCAAACTAAACCTTGAATTCCCTGGTCAAAATGAGGGAGTTCTTAAAATATATACTACTAAAATTAGAGCTTTTAGCCACAGGAAAGATAACTGCAAAGACAGGAGAAAGTTGGCACCTGTGCCACACAGTGGAGAAGCTCATTCCTTCCTCTAAGCCTGCCTAGAGGCAGCCCCTCTTTGAACTCACATAATCAATCCTGTGACTTCATTGTACACTGTGGAGGAAGCAGTAAAGCTCATACAAAGACTGTTACATGACTCTTCAGTCTTTTTTTCCCAAAGGTTATTTTGAGAGAGAGAGAGAGGGAGAGAGAGAGAGAACACGAGTGGGGAAAGGGCAGAGAGAGAGGAGAGAGGAAATTTCAAGCAGCCTCCACACCGTCAGCACAGAGCCTGATGTGGGGCCTGAGAGACTGTGACCTGAGCCAGAATCAAGAATCCACGCTTAACTGACTGAGTTACCCAGACGCCCCTCTTTGGTCTTTTTCAATGGTGGGTCTTCAACTCAGGCTTTTATCATTCTTCCTAAGAGACGGAGCACACCTAAGGTGAATTCTTAGGATGCCTAGGTGACTCCATCAGTTAAGTGTCCCATTCTTGGTTTAGGCTCAGGTCATGATCTCACAGTTAAGGAGACCATGCCCCACATCAGGGATTCTTTCTTTCCCTCTCTCTCTCTCTTTCTCCCCCTCCCCAACCTCTCCGGTTAAATAAATAAACTTAAAAAAAAAAAATACAGTGAGTTCTTCTAGCACAGGCAGACCATACCTCCATGGTTGAATTGGACACCTTGAAATGACTTGACAGTGACAGAGACAAGATGTTGTCCAGAATGGACACCACTGAAGCCAGATTGCCAGCTGTAGTTGATGGGTTTTGCCGAATGACGACTGAAAGATTTCGCACCAAGGATGACACAGCTGCCTCAGTGGCATTGCCTGCGATCACACTGAAATTCTAGGAATAAAAATGGTTAGGTTCTAGAGAACAACAAAATGCTTGTGTTTCATATACATTTTTACCCTGATTATACAGAAACTGATATTCAGTGAGATTTGGTGACTTTCCAAACTACACAGCGGGAAGTGGAAAGGTAGGCTCTACTGGCACTAAGTCCTATGTTATATCCACCATACAATGCCAAGAAATCCTTGTGGGATGAGAAGGCAAAAGGACATATGTGGAGATAAGACTACACTTTTCATTGGATCAGGAGTTTTGCTTTTTCCTTCAGGCTCCCCTCTGCCTTCGCTACACTGAGCTAGCTCGAAAGGCAGCCAAGAAGGGATATTCCTTTCCATTCAAAGTCAACCCAGGAATCAGATCCCATCTGTTTTCCTTTTTGCTCTCCTCAACTGACAGTGCTGTTCTCTACTCAAAGCACCTGGGATCTGCCTGCCCTCACACTTGGAGGGGACTAGTCCCAGCTATGGTCCCTGTCTGGAACCGATGTAGAGAAGGCAAGAGCAAGGATAGACTCCAGAAGCCATGTGGTCCAATCTCCCTCCCCAGTTTGCAGATGAGAAAACTCAGAAAGGAAGCAGTAAACTTTCTATAGTCTTCTGAGAAAGATCATTCTGAGTTTCATCTACAATAGCAGGGTCTCTGGCTGGGAGATAAGTTCTGCTCAATATGAACATCTATTTGCAAAATAGTGTCTGTGAACTGATCTCAGAGTCCCTTCTTTCTTTTCCTTGAGTTCTAATCCCTCACCATTTGCTTCCATCTTTCTATCCACCTTGCCTTAAGAACCTGAAGCTTTCTAAGGAAACATCATGTGGAAGTCATAGTCCAGGACTGGATATCAAGTGATCACGTTTTTAGTTCAGTGCTATTGCTACCAGAGGGACCATTAGCCTCTTAGTCTTTCAATTCCTGATCAACAAAAACGGGTTGATAAGCCAGATGGCCCTTGAGATCCATTGCAGCTCTGTCATTGTATATGGTTCACCCCTGGCTGACCCAGTCCCTGCCCAGGTTTCTGATGTGTGATCCTCTCACTTGTACTGAGTTTACAGCTTCTGACTCACACCTTCACTTAGATCTTTGATTCCCCGGCTTTCTGGACTTCTAAGGGCAGCTTAGTTGCTGTTTTACTATCTTAGAACTCTTCAGCATTGACTCATTCCTCTGTAGCACCCTCCCCTCTAGAAACATCAACTCTGACTTGTTCTGACTCTCTCGGCTTCCACCTGGACTCTGCTACCCATGCCCACACTCCCTGGGGTTGCCAGGCTCTGATAACACCCTCGACCTCTGTGCACTAACCACTGAGACAAATTGATATATTATCTACCGCCTAGCCCACGCTCACTGGGGGATGCCCACCGTGAAATTCAAAACACGAGACAGACACGCTTCACCTTCTTCAGTTCGTCCAGCTGAGAGTGTACACATGTCTCCTTGAGGACCTGCCACCCAGAGGGCTGGCACCTGGCTGTAATGTTTCCAGTGTAGCCGCTGCTACAGGGAAGAGTGTACTCGTCATTCCCAGACCCAAATCCAAAGACAATGCTGTTACACTGGGCTGGGAAAAAAAAATGGAAACAAAGAGGAAAAGTGTCTAAATATTCCGGCATGCCGTATAAACCATACGGCAGTGCTTTAGAAGTCATGTTTTCAGAGACATAACCCAGGCAAAATTTAGGAGTAGAAATCTGTCCTTGATGCCCAGCTTCAGCCTTGTCAGTACCCTTTTGTCCTTTCTGGCGCCTTCCCCAAGGCTGGCTCGTGTCTGATCTGTGCCAGCACTCTTGCTTTTGATGGGCTATCAGCTAGTAAGCCGCAGGTGGAAATAAGACAGGGTGCAATCACTCTCAGGAAAGAGTTTCACTCTGCAAGGAAGTGTCAGAAAATCAGAAACTCTTCCAGGAGTGAGGGAACAAAGTAGTAATGATACGGTTAAAAGAGGAGCAGTTGCCGTGGCAGGGTGGCACGTGTGTTCCTTTGAAAGCTTCTCACATTGTGACCAGTCACGAGTTTGACTCGTTTCCACCAGAGCCTGCTGAAAAGCCCATCTTCCACAGTGTCTACCCTGGGAACTGGAGACCAGATAGCACCGAAATAGTCCACTGAAACTGAGTTTCATCATGGTGAGGGGGGAAAGGCTGACTGTGTCTATGGAAAGTCAGTCTTAGAACAATCCTGTATCAGAAACATTTCCAGTCTACTCCGCGAAGACACAAGGAAGCGACAAATTAAAGGACTCCCGTAACCTGAGCCAAGGAAGGGAATTGGGTAGTACCTTTTCCAAATACTCTGAAAGAGCCGTCTTCTAGTGGGAACAGCTTGCGAAGGCCTGCCTTCACCTTCTCAGCCACCTGTTCGATGGCTGACAGCAGCTCAGATGTGCTGCTGGAACCCACAACTTCAAACCCAGCAATGATGCTTCCATCCCTATAATGACTATGTGGAAAGAAAAATGAGATTCATTCAGTCACGCGGGGCCTGCCGTGTGTATGCACGGCATTGGGTCCACAGGAACACATCAAACAGATTTGGTCCCTGCCTTCATGAAGCTTACATTCTAGTGGAGAAGACAAGGCAAATAGGGAACAAGTGACCAGCATACATAAACAATTATATATAATTTATATAACATAAAATATACATATATATATAATATATACATTTAGTTAAGTGTTATGAGAGACAGGTGCAATGATAAGAATAGCAGGTGGAGGGGCACCTGGGTGCTCGGCTGATTGAGGGTCTGACTCTTGATTTCAGCTCAGGTCATGATCCCCGGGTCGTGGGATCAAGCCCTGAAGCTGGCTTCGTGCTGAGTATGGAGCTTGCTTGAGATGCTCTCTCTCCCTCTGCCCCTCTCCCCTGCTCGTGTGTTCTCTCTCTTTCCAGAATAAAATAAAATAAAATAAAATAAAATAAAATAAAATAGCTTTAAAAAATAAGAATAGCAGGTAGAGATGAGGCTCACTTTAAATAAGGCTGGATAGAAAAGGCTTTTCTGTGCAGAGAGTCTCTGAAGCTGAGGCCCAAATGATGAGAAGAAAAGCTAGTATTGCAAAGAACACCGATGTAGCGTGTCAGCACGTGTGAAGGCCCGCATGCAGGAAAATGTCTATGAGTGAGACAAGTTGAAAGACTAGCTTCCAGGGGTGGCTGGGTGGCTCAGTCAGTTAAGCATCTGACTTCGGCTCAGGTCATGATCTCGCTGGTCCCAGGATCGAGCCCTGCGTCAGACTTTGTGTTGACAGCTCAGAGCCTGGAGCCTGTTACAGATTCTGTGTCTACCTCTCTCTCTGCTCTTCCCCTGCTTGCTCTCTCTCTCTCTCTCTCTCTCTCTCTCTCAAAAATAAATAAACATTAAAAACAATAAAAAAAAAAAATAAAGTCTAGCTGCCAGGTCAAGAACCGAAGTTGCTTCTCAATGTGCAAATTCTTCAACTACGTTGAAGAATTCTAGCATAACTAAGTTTTCAATGAGCAGGAGAGAAATGGTAGAAGATGATATTAGATAAGCAGCCAAGAGCCAGATCGAATAGGGCCTTAGAGTTTGAATTTTATTTTTTATTAAAAGGTTTTATTCTTTAGTAAAGGTCAGTGGTATGCTCAGGTTTATTGCTGAAGAGCATCACTCTGGCTGCTGTATAGAATGGACTGAAGAGAGGGAAACGGGGAAACAGGAGGACCCATTAGGAAAGAGGTGATGGTGGCTTGAACTTGGGTGCAGTGTATGTGGAGAGAAATGGCCAGGTTGTACTTAAAGACTGAGCCACTGGAATTGCTAAGGACGCTGAGAATGGAGAAAAGAACCGGTCAAGAATGACTCCAAGGGATAGAAAAAACAAATTGCGGTGTATTCATACAATGGAATAGCACTTGGCAATAAAAAGGAGGCAGCCCCTGACACTGAGAAAAACAAGAATGACCCTCGAAGACATTATGCTGAGGGAAAGAAGTCAGACACACAAAACAATTACACATTGGGTGATTCCATTTGTATGAAGTTCTAGAATAGACAAAACTAGCCTATGATGATAGAAAAATGAGCAGTGGTTATTTCTAGTGGCAGGTAAGGCATCGAATTGGCTAGAAAGAGGCACAAGGGAACTTTCGGGGTGATGAAAATGTTCTGTCTTATTAAAAGGTGGCTGATGCAAGCATTTGTCAAAGCTTATTAAACCGCACACATGAGGTTTGAGCATATCACTGTACATAATTATATCTCAGTAAAAAATGATCACAAAGGATGACTCCAAGTTTGGGTCTCTGCAACTAGAAGACTAGCACCACTGTAACTGAGATGGGCATGATAGCAGGAGAAGTAGGTTAAAGGTTCTGAGAAGAAAAGTTGGAGGACCCCTGTTTTGGACACATTATATGTGACGTGCCTGCTAGAACACCAAGTGGAGATGCTCACAGGTTGTTGGATATTTGGGTTTGGACTTTATGAGAGGAGCCAAGCTCAAGTAATAAATTTAGAAGCCATCAGCATACACATGGTGTTCGAAGTCATGAAAACAAGTGAGATCACATATATTAAGTTAATCCTGCAATAATTCCATGAGGTACACATTGTATTAGCCCCATTATGTAGATGAGGGAGCTGGAATCCTAAAGAGAAGTTGGGTCAAGCAATTATTAGTTATTAACTGATACTCCAAATATCAAATTCTTAATCACTACACCGAACTACCACTCACAATGTATGAATAAATCCAAATATTCTTTTAGGTAGTGAGAATCACAATGTCTTTGCATCAACATAGTTCTTCTATCAAGAAAACATTGTTTCCAAAATATTTTCCTGCCTATTATTTCATTTGATTTAATGAAGCTAAATCAGATTCCACATGTATTAACAGTACTGTTTAACAGAGAAATAAATTGAGACACTAAGAAATTAAGATTTACTTTAAATCATATACATAAAGAGTGAAACCTAAATAATATTATCTTATAGACTTATGCCTACTTTAGCTTTGACTTTTTCTACAAATTATTGGAGACAGCTTATAAGACATTTGGAATGGAATATACATAGGAAATATAAATGGAGGGGCACCTGGGTGGTTCAGTCAGTTAAGCATCCAGTTTCAGCTCAGGTCATGATCTCACAGTTCATGAGTTCAAGCCTCACATCGGGCTCTGTGGTGACAGCTCAGAGGTTGGAGCCTGCCTACATATTCTGTGTCTCCCTCTCTCTCTCTACCCCTCCCTGACTCACACTCTGTCTCTCCGTCTCTCAAAAATAAACATTGAAAACAAATTTTTTTTGAAGAAATATAAATGGAAAGCCAGGACCAAGGTAAAGAAAAATATGAATATTGAAGACAAAAATTACTGATTAAGTTTCAAATTTGTCTATGCATTCAGTGACTGCAAAGTCAGAAGGAAAATATGATTCATTGTATAGACTTTAGTATAAGAAAAAAGAAGTGGGGCACCTGGGTGGCTCATTTAGTTAAGCGTCCAACTTCAGCTCAGGTCGTGATCTTGTGGTTTGTGAGTTCGAGCCCCGCATCAGGCTCTGTGCTGACAGCTGAGAGCCTGGAGCCTGCTTCAGATTCTGTGTCTCCCTCTTTCTCTGCCCCTCTCCCACTCCCACTCTGTCTCTCTCTCCTTCAGAAATAAATAAACATTAAAAAAAGAAAGAAAGAAAAAAGAAGCAGTGTCCTTCCTAGTGTTGAATTTTAAAGAAAATTATCCACGTGGGCCTGTATATAAGAACATGGGATATCTGGAAGGATAAGATCCAGGACAGTATATTGGTGACAAATGCTGTTGAAAATTTCCTATAGCTATTCTTTAACTGTGAAAAAAAAAATATGAAGTCAAGTTCTCTGACCTCTAAGCCACTTCCTCTATCCAGCAGATTATAAATAGTTAGTAATCAATGTACACATGGCTAACTAACCATATCACTTTTGGAATGAAAGCATAAACAAAAAGATAATTTACTAAATATCTCTTTATTTGCTGTAGACAATGCCTACTGGGTTATGAGTTATGGTGCATACATGATACCTGCAGAAAAATATAATGGTTCGCCGTAGGCTGCCCCCACGGCTCCCAGTTATATAGCTTTGTACCATATCTCCCTGTGCTTAGGACAGAGAAAAACCATCCCTCTGCAACCCATAACCCTCATCTCCACCCCTCATCCTGTTCCATACGTGCACACCACGATCTCCTGCTTCATCCCAAGTTCTCCCACTGTGGGTTTGCAGTCCCAGTCTCTAATCTATAGCTTGGAGAATGCCATTCAATATTTAAGTTTCCTCTTCTGACATTTAAAAGCATTACAGAATCGCTTCTCGGCCTTTTGGCTAAGCATTACAGACTTTTGTCTAGTTTTAGTAAGAATACTAGAAAGACCAGTTCTGCCCTATTTTCTGTCAAGGTCATTTGGGAACCTAGCACTAGGAATTCTGCAGGATGGGTGCACAATTCTGAGGATGCCCTTCTAAGGCCATTGTGTTACTTACCGAAATTGGGTGACATGAACCGACTCAAAATCTTGAATTCTTTTGAATGCTTCTTTAAGCTTACAAACAGAAAAAAGGGCGACATGTTGATCTTTGCCCCCATTCGAGGAAGATATTTAAACAAAAAACTGATGGAGATAATAAATTTACCAACAGAACCACTGAGCAAAGAGATACCACAAGAGGTAGTTGCTATTATACAAATATAGTTCAAATGGCACTTGAGAATCTACACACACACACACACACACACACACACACACACACGAGTCACACCATTTATTTTTTAGTTTGCTAATAAAGATGGAAGAACCAATTTGTTATAAGGGGGGATTGGGTGCCAGATAACACAAATTTACCCCCGAAATGTATGTTTTCTCCCTCATAAAAATACGACATAAATTTCCATATGCATTGAAACTGAATCTATTGGAAAGTATCTGTGTATGTCTTCAGTGAAAATCACATCTGAACCATCATCCGAGGCAGACGGGCACTAACCGAATTTTTGGATGACTTCATTATATAGTCCAGAATTTTTCTCAATGATTCTATTTAGCCTCTAACAAGAGAAGCTTCTTTCCGGAACAAATCCCAGATGCTGACAATTGAGCCTAGATCATGAAAATTTTCTTTTGACAAATAAAAAAACAGAAAACAATCAAGAAGACTCGGTAGGATATGACTCACATAAATGAGCAAAAGTGAACACAAGAGAAATGGAACGAAGTCAATTACTAAAACTCTCCCAGAAAGAGAATGTTCAATGTACGTCAGTTGTGAGCTATGTGATTAACTGTTCTGTAATAACTCATTGAATGTGAATGATTAAGAATATGCATTAAATAAACATGCGGAATTGAAAACACTTGAACTTATGTTTAGCCAACAATTTCTTATGTAATAAGCAGAAAGTGCTTACTTGAATTTCAATTCCAGTTGTATACTTGGAATATGAAGGAGAAGATGAATTCAAAAGGTCTTTGGTAAATCGTTCATTGATTTTGAAAGTGCCCCAAACCTCTACGGGAAATAAAAAGAGGTTGATAGATATAAAAATTATTCGCTTGAATTTATGACGGCATAAAATTACAGAAGTACATTTGGAGCCCATCTATTTAACAGCAGTATTTCAATTTCTTTTTGTAATGACTGTTCACCTAAAATAATATAGGAAGTATACATAAAACTAGATTTTCAACTGTGAATTTGTAACGTAACAGGAAAGTGCTGGTGATCAAGACAACTTTATAAGTAGGTAAACGTGTGGCCACCATGTGTGGTTTAAAAAAAAAAAAAAATCAGTCACTTAACCCTGAAGTACATGCCCATCTAGACATTGAACTTAAATACTGTCCCCATTAAAAATAAAGAAACAAAACAAAACAATAAAACACTACTTGCTATCTCTAGCATATGCTTGTTTACCCATTGCTGGTACTTTTCTGTTCAGGGACAAGTTGTTGCCCATTTTTATATGGATAAATACCATTTATCCTTCATTAAGGACCTAGTGAAATGTACTTCCTGTGCAAGCCGTCCCCTGATCCCCAGTTGCAAAGATTCTTTCCTTCCTCTAAATTCCTACAGTCCTTTGTTCGTACCCCCTTTACAACCTCTTGTACAGACATATCTATTTGTGAGCATTTCTCACGTTTATATGTCCCTGCTCCACTTTGGGAAGACCTTTGTGAGTGTAATCCCTGTCTCATCCATGGTTGTCTCTCTTCAAGATGGAATAGACACAGACCACCCTTCAAAAGGTAGACTTTCATTCAAATTTGTTGAGGAAAATATATTATCTTCTTTCTTGTATTGTAGCCTAACCTCCCCGACTAGCCTTCTAATTCATACATAGAGAGAAGTGCTTCATTGTGTCCTCCCAGAATTTGCCTCTGATCCGGGTATAAAGATGGTGTTTCATAAATATGCATTGCCTTTGTGAATTGGCATCGTCCTGGGAAGGGGAGCGAGAAATGTCCAGAAGATCTGGGCTATTTCAGTTTCTCCTTCACTCTTCGCTCAGCTCTGCCCAAATCCAAAGCTTCAAGATAACTGGAGTAATCTCTGAGGAAACTTTGTAAAGACCTTCAAGCCCTGAAGCCCATGTCATTTGGCTCGCCTCATCACCCACTGAACATAAACCTAAGGCGACAGCTCACTCAGCTTCCACTGGTTTCCTAAAATAGACTTTTAATTTCTTGTTTTGTTTGGTAATGCATTCAGTACACCTACCTGTTGGCAATTTTGAACATGTATTTCAATATAATCACTATGTGCTCCTCCCTGCTCTCACACCTCTAGACTTCCCTTTTCTGAAAGCTGATGTTGGCAAATGAAATGAAAGAAGGCAGGAAAGAAAATCATTTACTCAAGCAGCTCCCCTACTTGGGATTTCGGTGCATCTCCCTAAATCTCAATAAAATCAGAGAATTGCAGAGCTCAGCTAGATGAACCTCAGGGTTGAATTGATGCTCAAATATCAACTTGCACGTCTGAATTTTCTGCAATTAGGATGTTCTCACTGTGTGCAGTTAAGCCTAGTGGGGTATACTGTTACCACCTTTTGATGACCCTGCAAACACTAGCTCTGCTAGTGGAATACGTGGGTGAAGAGCTAGGGTTCCCTCTCCATGGCTTGTTGGGTGCCAGGGTGCAGGCCTGGAGCTCTCCTCCCAGCACCCTGATGTGCTTACTTGCTCTCTCGCAGAAACTGAGGCTCTGGGTGAGGTTGTTGAGATAACAGTCACAGCTCTGGAGGGCTCCGGCCGTGTGAAGGTAGCATTTCTGGGGATCAAGGCATGAGGGAGGGAACCAGGAATAGCCGTCCTCACAGGAACACTGCAGGACCCCATTCTGGTGCCCACAGTCTGCACAGAAAACAGAGCTTGGTCTCGCGGGGTCTGATTTATCAATTGACTAGCGCTGAGTTCTCATCCTTGTTTCTGACTTAGAGTCTGAACCCAGTGTTTCCCACCAAAAGCCAGAAGGATAAAACTAGGATGGCGATGTGTTTAAGGTAAGGAAACGTCCAACTCAATAGATTCTGAGGCTGATATCAAACGCTTGGCAAACATAAAATCAAGTGGCTGGGTCAAGCATCCAAAGGAAGGATGAATGCCCAGTAGATAGCCCTTGGAATGGCAAAGAGAAGCAAAAGAGGGTATACAAACCTGATAGCTATTTAAGAGTTCTAGAAGGTATTTCTCCACTACTTCATTTCAGGCTCCTCTTATCTACCTAACACCGTTTTTAGGTAGGCCCCTTAAGCAAGATGGCAAACACCGAGAGACATTTTTGAGAGTCATGAGGAAAAATTCCATCAGCCAATTCTGTAGTCTCAGTTCCTAACTAACTGACCAAAAATGCCCCATCAAAAGGCATTCCTTTATAATAGACAAAAAACTGGAACAAAGTCACCAGACATCTTTGTGAAAACATGCATCATGATATGCAGTGAATGATTCTTTAATTTTGCCATATGTCAGAACCACCTGGAGGGTCTCATCCCAAAGTTTCTGATTCAGTAAGTCTGGGATGGGGCCAAGGATTTGGATTTCTATTAAGTTCCCTGATAATGCTGCTGCTGCTAATCTGGGCACCATACTTTGACAACTACTGCTTTAGACAAATCGTTTAACATCTCTGAACCCCAGCATTGTGGTCATTAGTGCTGTTTGTCAATTAGTTCTTACTCTTTTCCAGGCACATAGTAAGATTACATATCTTGCCCCCACCCCCTCCCCTTCCCCGAGGTTGAAAGGAACCATGAAACCAGTTTTGGCCAATAAATTGTGAGCAGAACTAATGTGTGTCACTTCTGAGGTGGAGAATTCAACTGCCAATGTGAAACCCTCTATTTTTCCATTTCTTTTTGGCTCAAACTGGGTACATTTGAGGTAGTTTCTGATTGATTAGCCTGGATTCCCAAGTGACACAAACACAACCATGCTGCCAAACTGCAGTAGAGATATAGCGTGAAGAAGGAAGAACGCATGTATCCTTTCCGGCCACAGATATGGTGGGGATGGTTGTCTCCATAGCATAACCTAACCTATCCTGACTGATACACCCACCTTCCCCATTTCTACTCCCAGTTCCCAGAGGGCAGATTTACATGTGGTGGCCTTTGCGCTGATAATCTTCATTGGTTCATGTAACCATAACAATGGAGGCTTCAAAAGCTTCAGAAAATTCTTCAAGTGTCTCTTCTCCTTGGAATCTCTGTAGGCCACCTGAAGCAGCAGCTCATATTCCTGGACTGAGCCTAAAGACAGGAAGAGAGTCAGGAGTCTCCTCTTTCAGCCTGAGAGACAAATATTGTCAAGGAAGCCACCATGAAGCAACCATCACATGTAGTCTGGGGGGTCACAGGCTGGGCCACAAAGCTTGTTACTGACATCTGCTTGTCCAGACATTAAGTACAAATGAGCGTCCAGAGCAAACACTTGCAGGCAGTCCCACATGTGAGTGATATATGTCTATCCCCCCACTTCTGCTCAGGCAGCTGCTCCCACTCTCCCTGACCCACCCTGGCCTCCCCCTGCTGACTTTACACAGTTCCTCAGGACGTCCAAGGTCACGTTTCAGGGATCAAGACCCAAGGGAGAAGATGGGAGAAAATCCGAGTCACTCTTCCTTCTTACTCTCTCAGCTCTAGGCTCCTTGAAGTATCTCTGGCATAAAACCCCCAGTCTCACACTTAGCAAAGAGCCCTTTTTTCTCCTGGGAAGAGGTTCCAGCAATTAGCCAAGTTTGAGTACCTTATGTGATGTGCAAAAGCCAAACGAAACCAGACCCTACTCAAGTCTCATCAATGCCTTATCACTGAGGAGCAGCACCTTTTGTTTCCCTAAGGAGAGGCCGTTAAGCATTCTGGGCTCAGAAAGAATATGAGTCCTGTGAGTATTCTCTCACCCAGAACTCATTTAGGCACGTTCACGTGAAAGTTAGTGCACGATTTCATGGGGTTTCAAGATCCTCCAAAGCTCGTCTATGGATCCCAGATTGAGAATGTGAAGGACCTTAGAGAAAAAGGGGGAAAAGGTGAACATCCTTTTATTCTGGGTCTCCTTTGATTTCCACTGGCAGTGAAATCTCTTAGAAGTCTTAGATTTCTCGGGACATCCATGCTTTTTGCAGGGACAGATGAGCTGGGAGCTTCTATGAGACTGTCCCATTTCTTAGGGACCTGGTGGGGATGTCCAAGCAAAAGGAAATTTGTAGAGAAAAAAAATCAGCAGATCAACCCCTAGACTTTTCAGAAGGCAGGAAGCTGGCTGAGGCTAACATGTTCCAGAACATTTATAAGAGCTTCCTATCTGCCATAACTTCCACCATCTCACTCCATAAAGCCTCAGCCCTGCCTCTTTCTCTCCCCTCCCTTTGTAGGCTGGAGCCTCTGCCCCAGGTTTGGGAGCCACACCAAGTAGAGAGAGCTAAGGGGACTCCTGTTCCCACTGCCCAAGCAGGTAAGAGGTGGGGGAATGGTCAGTGTCAGAGGTTAATGGCACTGGTTCTGGAGTCAGGTTGACTGGGTTTTAATCATTCCATTTGCCCCTAGCTCTGTATTTAATTTCACTATCTATAAAATAAAGATGACCACTGTTCCTAAATGAGAGGGTCAATGTGAGGATTTAATTTGTCTAATGCACTTAAAAGAGTGCCTGGCATCTAGTAACAGCTCAATAAATACTAGCTGTAAAGTGCCTGGCATCTAGTAACAGCTCAATAAATACTAGCTGTATTTTTACTCCGAGGGAAAATGTATTCATGGCATTCCAAATTGAATTTTTATTTCACTTTCTGAAGAATCATAGCCAGCCTTGCATGGTGGTAAGTTCAATGACACCATTAGAACGCTGTTTTATGACAGACCACTGCACTGGTGAAAGGCTTTTGTGGACTGACCCAGGAACCGAACAACCATCTGTGGACATCATTATTTCCAAGAAATATATTCGGCGCTTGAAACGTCAGAACGACAAATTGAATTTCAGAACACAACCCATTTCTCGACTGAGAGTTGTACCCACTAATGACTTTGTTAGGACTGAGATAAGGAAGGAAAGGGGGAGCTATTTGTCAGGTATGGTGCAGGATGCTATGCCTTCGTATGTTACTTAACCTTCACAAATGTTTTGCTAGTAGGGATTGCTGTTATTCTCATTTCACAGATTTAGGGTCATACCACCAGTCATAAGCACTACTGAGGTTTGAACCCTGGTCCCTTGGCACCAGTGTCTATCACACCACACTCTACAGGAGTCTCACCTGGATGATTTTTCTTATTCACAGTGAGTCCTCTTTTTGTTTTCATGCCTTCATTTCTCTATTTAAGAGGGGAACAAAAGAATAATTACAACATGGCCTTGTAATGATGTATTTCATAAGGCGCTGTTGGAACTCCCAGAACAATTGAAATTATGGATCTAAAAATCCAAGCCAGGGGCGCCTGGGTGGCGCAGTCGGTTAAGCGTCCGACTTCAGCCAGGTCATGATCTCGCGGTCCGTGAGTTCGAGCCCCGCGTCGGGCTCTGGGCTGATGGCTCAGAGCCTGGAGCCTGTTTCCGATTCTGTGTCTCCCTCTCTCTCTGCCCCTCCCCCGTTCATGCTCTGTCTCTCTCTGTCCCAAAAATAAATAAACGTTGAAGAAAAAAAATTAAAAAAAATAAATAAATAAATAAAAATCCAAGCCAGGGATGGTGGAGAGGTGGCCAGAGAAGACCTCACTGAGGCGACTTTTGAGCACAACCCTGAAGGAGGTGAGGAACTGAGAATCCCTGGAAAAGAACTTTCCAGGCAGAGGGAACAGCACATGCAATATCCTTGGGATGAGAACATGCCTGGCATGGGAGGACAGAATGAGGAGGCCAGAGTAGCTCAGCGGAATGGGTAAGGGGAGAGGGGCAAGAAGTGAGATCAGAGAGTATCTCCAAGGAGACAGGCTGTGTAGATCTTTATAGGCTATAGCAATGGTTTAGCTTTTACTTCAGTGAGATAGGAACCCACCGGAGAGTTCTGAACAGAGGTGAGAATGCTCTACTTTACTTTTTAGAAGGTTCAATCCCGCAGCCATGTTAGGAACAGACAAGCACAAAAGCAATGAGAGCATCTCAAGAGTTAGTGCAATAACACAGGTGAGAGATACTGAAGGTGTGGATTGAGGTGGTAGCCATAGAGGTAATGAGAAATGTTTGAATTCTGGGTGTGTTATAAAGATAAAGCAAAACAAAACAAGAGCCAATGGTTTAGATATGGATTATGAGGAGAGTCAAGCACGAAAATAAATTTTCTTCCCAGGCATCTAGAGGGACAATGGCACCACTTGCTGAAATGAGAAAGGAGAAGCAAGCTTGGCAAGGAAAAACTCAAGAATTTAATTTTGGACTCGTTAACTTAAGGGGCCTATTGGACACCCAACTGGAAATAGCAAGTAGGTAGTAGATACACGGGGTTAGAGTTCAGGGGAAAAGGCTGAGAGGTAGATGTAAATTGGGGAGCCATCAGAGAACATTAAAACCATGATCCTAGATGAAAGCATCAAGAAAGTGAGCGTAGAGAGGGAAGAGAGTCCAAGGATTGCCCATGCCAATCTGTATGCCTCTTCTTGGTCAAAGAAACCATAGGAAGGAATGTGCTGAGCTAGCAGAGATCTCCAAGATGGTTCAGTCTGAGTTCCTTATTTTGCAGTTCGATCATCTAAGCTCGAGGAGATGAAACTGTTTGTCCAAGGCTACACAGCTCATGTTGGTAATGTTGAGACAAGAACCCAGGACTTCTGATTCCAAGTCTACTAACTTATATAGCTCCAGTTGCTGAGGGAGTGATAGGTTCTCAAAGTGCAGAGGGAGAGAAGAGTGGCGGTAAGGAGGAAAAATGGGGCATGTGCCAACTCACCCCCAGGAAGCCTTCCCCGCCGTCGGTGAGTGTGAAGAAAGAGATGAGCCAGAGCATTCGGAATTTCATCTTCAGCTGGTCTCCCTCCTTACCGTGGACTCAACCGGGCTCACGGTCTGTGGCCAGACGATTGATGTACCATGCAAGGCTGCAAAGCTGATGCAAAAAAAAAAAACAAAAAAAAAAAAACAAAACCAAAACCAAAAAAACCAAACAACAAAAAACCACCACCAACAACAAAAACAAAAACAAAAAAACAAGTCGTTCAAGCCAAAATTTAAAAATGCACACAGTGGTTGGGTCTAAATGAGCAGATCAGAAGCCCTGAGTGTTTGATGATTTTTCCATTTCACATGTGTAGCCTGAGATACCATTACTTTCGCTCCAGTAGCAGAAGGTATTAAGTCTCTGTCTTTCCAAACTTCCCAGAAAATTGCTCAAGAGCACTCAAATTTGCCTAAACACAGGCTATTTTATTTTATTTATTTATTTAAAAAAAATTTTTTTTACATTTATTTTTGAGAAACAGAGACAAAGAGTGAACAGGGGAGGGGCAGAGAGAGTAGGAGACACAGAATCTGAAGCAGGCTTCAGGCTCTGAGCAAGTGGTCAGCACAGAGCCTGATGTGGGGCTCGAACCCACGAACTGTGAGATCATGACCTGAGCCGAAGTCGGACGCTCAACCGACTGAGCCACCCAGGCGCCCCAACACAGGCTATTTTAAAATTATGACTTGCTTAACTTTGTGACTAAATGCATTCAACATCCAGCCTTTTTATATTTCACGGTTTCCCTTTTATCAGTAAAAGCAAGCATTAAAATAACCAATGATCCTTAGAAGCATTAATATATATGGAATATATATTGGAATATATATGGAATAATATGGAATCAGTGTTTAAGCATAAAATAATGAAGCAATGCAGCAAATTTCCTTCTTTATAGTTGACGTAATTATCAACGAATTATCCTCAAGCTTATGGTTATGTGAGAAGAATTGAGACAAAATTCAGCACATGGTCTGGGTCACAAAATTCATCATTTATACCCGGGTTATTTGGTGTCAACAACAAAAAATCACCGTAAGTTAGAATTGTTCTGTCCAATATAGTAGCCACTGGATACATGTGGCAGTCTGAATTTTAATTTTAATTACAATAAAATGAAATGAACAATGCAACACCTCAGTCACACCAGCCACATTTCAGGTATTCGATAACCACATGTAGCTGGCGGCTACCAATATTAGGCAGTGTAGACACAGAACATTTCTGCTATTGCCAAAAGTTTTATTAGGCACAGAATAGTATTCAGCCTTAAAATAAAAGGAAATCCTGTCCCATGATACAATATGGGTAAACCTCAAGAGCATTACATTAAGAAAAAGAAGCCAATTGCAAAAAGGCAAATCCTGTATGATTCCACTTGTATAAAGTATCTAAAGTAGTCAAGCTCATAGAAATGGAAAGTAGAATGGCAGTTGCCAAGGGCTTGGGGGAGGGGGAAATGGGGACTTGCTATTTCATGGGTCTAAGTTTCAGTTTTGCCAGATGAGAAAGTTCCAGAGATCTGATGTATAACAATGTGAATATACTTAATCAACACTACTGCAACCACACACTTAAAAATGGTTAAGATGGCACATTTTACGTGGGGTTTTTCTCACAATGTTTGAAAAGTGGTATTGGACAGCATCGACAGAAATGAAGGAGTGCAATGGGCTCGCAACATTCTTTCACATCGCCATAGGAAACGACGAAAAAATAGGATTCCTAGCCTCGATAACCCACCATTAGAATAAGTGTGCTTGACCAGCAGCACAGAAAACGCAGAGTTGGACCCCGCCTTCCAGCTCTTACCTTGTTTCCTGGGTGTCCCTTAACCCTCACACAAGCCCTGACAGGCCCCCACACTTTGCCCTCTGGTCTACAAGAAGAGAAAAAAGGCATTAGGGACAGGATAAAGGCTACCACAGGCGTGGCCTACGTGTCAGCAGCGATCCTTTCCAGGGCTTTCTAGGGACGTAAGAAAAATAAGCAATGAACCACATACAACTTTTGTGTTTATCTTCTCCCCTTAGATGAATTTTGGTCCTCTCCCGTCACTACCTTCCCACTTGCCAAAACTCCTTCGAAATCTACTGATTTTAACTTTCTTTGAGCAGCAGCCTATGCTCCAGATCGTTCTTATAGATTCTTGCTTCTCAAAATTTATCTTCTTCGGGTCCTATTCCCTCTGGCCTGCTCTGTGCGTTCTCAAAGTGATGGGTATTTGTGCTTAGGGCAGTGTTTTTCAAACATTTTGACCAGGCTCGATAAAAAGAAATATATTTTATAACATGTGCATGTATAGACACACGTATAATAAAATGTAGGAGTATGTATGTATAAATAACAGAACAGAATAGTTAAATAACAGAACAATTCTGTGAAACGGAACTTAATAATTTCTGAGACGTGCCCTTGGACATTTCTATTTGTTTTTTTGTGTGTGTGGTTGCTGTTGTTTTTATTCAAATTCCAGTTAGTTAACATACAGTGTAATATTAGTTTCAGGTGTACAAAATAGTGATTTGACACTTCCATACATCACTTGGCGCTCATCACAGCAAGTGCCCTCCTTAGTCTCCATTGTCCATTTAACCAATCCTCCCACCTACCTCCTCTCTGGTTAACCATCAGCTTGTTCTCTTTAGTTAATTTTTTTTTTCAATGTTTATTTATTTTTGGGACAGAGAGAGACAGAGCATGAACGGGCGAGGGGCAGAGAGAGAGGGAGACACAGAATCGGAAACAGGCTCCAGGCTCTGAGCCATCAGCCCAGAGCCTGACGCGGGGCTCGAACTCACGGACCGCGAGATCGTGACCTGGCTGAAGTCGGACGCTTAACCGACTGCGCCACCCAGGCGCCCCTTGTTCTCTTTAGTTAAAAGTGTCTTGGTTTATCTCTCTCTCTCTCTCTGTCTTTTTCCCTTTTCTCATTTGTTTTGTTTCTTAAATTCCACATTTGTGGAAAGCTATTTGTCTTTCTCTGACTGACATATTTCAATTTAGTGTAATACTGTCCAACTCTACCCATGTCATTACAAATGGCAAGATTTCATTCTTTTTTATGGCTGAGTAATATTACACACACACACACACACACACACACGCACACGCACACACACATACTACATCTTTATCCATTCATCAGTTGGTTATTTCCATATCTTGGCTATTGCAGATAATGCTGCTATAAACAGCAGGGTGCATGTATCCCTTTGTATTCTTCAGGGAAATACCTAGCAGTAAAATTTTTGGGTAGTAAAGTAGTTCTAGTTTGAACTTTTTGAGGAATCTCCATACTGTTGTCCAGAGTGGCTGCACCAGTTTGCATTCTTACCAACAGTTCAAGAGGGTTCCCCTTTCTCCACATCCTCGTCAACACCTGTTGTTTCTTGTGTTGTTGATTTTAGCCATTTTGACAGATGTGAGGTGATATCTCATTGTGATTTTTATTTGTGTTTCCCTAATGATGAGTGATGTTGAGCATCTTTTCATGTATGTGTTGGCCACCCGAATGTCTTCTTTGGAAAAATGTCTATTCATGTCTTCTGTCCATTTTTTAATTGGATTATTCATTTCCTGAGTGTAGAGTTCGTTAAGTTGTTTTACAGATTTTGGATACTAACCCTGTATCAGATATGTCACTTGCAAATATCTTCTCTAATACCATAGGTTACCTTTTAGTTTTGTTGATTATTTCCTTCACTATGCAGAAACTTTTCATCTTGATAAAGTCCCAATAGTTCCAATACCTTCTTGGAGTGCAGCCACATTGCAGAGGAAGCCTGTGCTCTTTCCAACCCCATTTTCACTTTTTCTCCACCTCCAGGGAAAACATTTTAATGTCAGTTCCTGAGCACTGTTTGGACCACGGTCTGTAGTGGTGAAGATTTCAAAGAGGGAAACAGTCTCTGTGCCTGTAAGGTGTGATCTATCCTGTCCTTGTGCCAGGGTCTGTGTCCCAGTGGGAGGCTCGCCCTCATATGGGTCTTTCTCTCAATTCTCCCTCTCAATCTCTCTCTGAAAAATCTTCTTTCTCACCTATGTTGTCCAGACTGGAGGCTGCAAACCCAACCCAATAAGGCCTAGATGACAGCCTGGGCGTCGTAAGGAAACTCTTTCTCATACTCTTGGCCCCTTTATCCACTCTTCCTCCCATGTGGAGGGTGTATTCCAGGCTGTCTCCTCGGACTTGCTAGAAATGGTAAACTGTCACTTACAGTCAGGACTTCAGAACAGTGATTCTCAGTCACCGCTCTGTAGGCCAATCATGAATAGCTAGACTATAAAACAAGATGGGGAAAGAAGAAGTGGATGAGAAAAGAAAACACTGGGAAGCTCATTAGAAAATGCAAGTGTCTGCATCCCACCCTAAGCCTGCTAAATCTCAAACAGGCTAGGCCCAGCCATGTGCATTATTAAAGTTACCAAGAGATGCTGGCCTCCAGGCAGGTTTGAGAGTTATTATTCTAGACTGGTTCTGGGATAGGAAAAAGGAGTTCTGCCCTAAGGCCAACCCTGTGATTTGAATTCTAATTTGGGGCTTGGGACCAAAGCTCAAACTAATCAAATTTTTTTCTTTGCTCCCTTGGTGTAAACACCTCCTCCTTAGATAGAGTTGGAAGACTGGATTTCAGGTAAATAATGGCTAATGTTTCAGTGTTAAGTATGTGCCATACAACATTTGGGACACGATTCATTGTCCAGAATTATTCGTTGTTTTTCTGAAATTCAAATTGAACTGGGCATCCTCTATTTGCCAACTAGTCAAAGGTGGGAAAATGGTATCTCAAGGCACATGGATCAAAACAAGCACTGTAGTTGAATTGTCCAGGGTTCAGTTACCAGCTTTGATATTATCAAGTAGATGCCCTCTGACATTTTCTCAGGCTTCCCGTACCTCAGTTTACTAACCTATAACATGGAGGAAATAGTATATAATTCAGAAGTTCTTACGAGAGTTGAATGCATTATTGCATACAAAGTAACCAAAACAATACCTGGCGGGTGATAAGCCTCAA